TATCTATCTATCTATCTATCTATCTTCAGTGACAGCCTATTTCTTAAGGATCCTGTACTACTGAATACATTTTGGTTTTGACCTAATAAATTATTATTATTTAAAATGAAATAAAATAGAATTCAGTTATTTAAAATATGTAATATTTCGCAAATTACTGTTATTTTTTGTAAAATAACTGCATACGTGGTGAGCATAAGAAACTTTTTAGAAAAACTTTTTAAAAATGTACACATTAATTATAGACATACGTATGTTCTATTTGTCAAAAAGAGTTTAAATAATAGCAAAACATTATGTTCTGTACTACAGCAACTTTATAGATTTCAAAGAGGCACTTTTAAAGAATATGGACATTAATGCAACTTTGGTCCTATTAACTTCTCTAAAATGCTGCTTTGTCTCCCTCTCATGGAGGTCTTCATGTTTACACCACATGTCAGCTATAAGGATATTATCAACAGTGAAATAAATATAGCATTGTAATCCAGTATAATAAGTAGACATGGTAAAACTATTGTATTGCCAATATTTCAGTAATTCCCATACAGCAGGTAAACTAAAAGGGTTAGTTCGCCTAAAAATGAAAATTAACTCTAAAAATTATTTTGTTGCACTCAATGAGCTTCTTCTGTTGAACACACAATATATTTTAAAGAACGCTGGTTTTTGGGATCCATCAAGTTCCATAACAGGAAAAAATACTATGCAATCTATGGCACTATCAACCAGCATTTTTCATAATATCTTTTTTTTTGTGTTCAGCTGAAGAAAGAAGCTCAAGTAGATTTTAATTAAGTGAAGGGAGTGTGGCTGAATTTTCATTTTTGAATGAACCAAAACTTAAAGGCAATTTATAATGTCACAAATCATGTTAAAGTCTTTATTAGTCCACTTCATGAAGTGAAATGCACTTAGAATGATTGTGTGGATTTCCTTAAGCTTAAGTGTTTATCAAAGTCTACAAGCGTTTGTCTAAAAGCAAGTGGAACATTTGTGTCATTGATTGGTATTGTGTCAACACCTTCGACCTGTTGATTTTGACTGAGTGTGCGAGTCTACTGCACACACACAGACACACAGATTGACCTTTTTAATGCATGGTCAGGCACACTAGCCAATGAAACTGCTGTATTTGAGACTATTTTTCATATATGATGCAATAATACACTTGGATAAACACATCACATACCGAGAGCTTATTTGGAATGGGAAGGTTATTGTAAAGATGTGCAAACATGAGACATTATATCACCTTGCAGAAACACTGACACTTCAACCTGCATGTATACAGTATATCAGGGGTATCCAAACTCAGTCCTGGAGGGCCGGCGTCCTGCAGATTTTAGCTCCAACTTGCTTCAATACACCTGCAAGGATGTTTCTAGAATGCCTATACAGGGGTGCCCAAACTCGTTCCTGGAGGGCCAGTGTCCTGCAAAGTTTGGTTCCAACCCCAATCAGACATACCTGGGCTAGCTAATAAAGCTTTTACTAGGCTTTCTTGAAACATCCGTGCAGGTGTGTTGAGGCAAGTTGGAGCTAAAATCTGCAGGACGCTGGCCCTCCAGGACTGAGTTTGGACACCCCTGGCCTAGTAAGAGCTTGATTAGCTAGCCCAGGTGTGTCTGATTGGGGTTGGAACTAAACTTTGCAGGACACCCACCCTCCATCACCAAATCTGGACATCCCTGCAGTATATGTACTAAAAAAAACATGTTCAGCATTGCCCACCGTGCGTGCCTGTCAGCATGCTTTAATCTCTGTCCTCAGCTGCCTCAGACAACAGACAGTCATAAAGGAAGCAGATCTTACGTAACATATGTGAGAAATACTACAGTAAGAACTTTAACAATGAGTGTACAAAATAAACCTGATTTAGCGTCCACAAACCGGGATTGAAGCGTCTTCTTTTATAATTGTACTGACACGCAGATGGGGTGATGAAGTAAAGCTTAAATACATTGCTGAAATTTATTACAAACATGCACTGTTTTATAATATTTTAAACTTGTAAAACTCACTCGATCACATTTTATGACGACTGATAATCCTAGCAAACTGAACAGACCTTTTAATCCTGGTTGCTTTAATTCTGTCTTGTTGATATGCTCATACACGTTACTACGGAGAAATATTAATACGCAGATGTCAATCAAATCGTTGAGCGCGGGAACCACACTCCTACGTCAAGTTGTGGTCGATCTGAAAACCGCTCCAATTGGTCTACTGTTTTTATGTTGTTCAATTAAAAAAAAAAAAGGACTGGGTGTGTTTATATCACCCAAATATGGCGGTCTATACACTATACACATGTCTGTCTAAACAGCTTGAAAAGTAGATTTTTCACCTTAGGTGCCCTTTAAAGGGAAAAAAAGGGAAAGCCAAAAATGAAACCTCTCTCATCTTTTACTTATCCTTGGCTTTGTTCCAAGCTGACTTGAGTTTTTTTATTTAAGTTTTTTTTTCTGTTGAACACAACTGAAGATATTTTGAAAAATGTTAGATCCCTGTTATCCACTGACTTCCATGGGAAAAATAAATACTATTACTGGCAGTTACTAATATGTCAATGTTGAGTAAATGATGACAGAACTTTCATTTTTTTAATTTCAATTTTCATCAACAGACAAATTTCAAATTATCAGGCGCAATTGTCACACAACCTCATGAACCTTGTACAAGCAAGTGCGGTTCAACATCAATCTGACATGACGAACACTGTTTCAATTCAAAGTATTTATACACAGCTTCCAAATGTGTCTTTCAATGTATGAGCAATTAAAGATTAAATTGATGAATCCTTCATGGTCTAAAATATCTCAAGATTCATTGTATACTAATTTGGACAGGATATTTTTTAATGAGTAAAATCCAGATTACACCTTAAAGTGTGCATTGTTTTGATATGAGTTCAATGATATGTGATAATTACATGTTAAAAATACAAACAACACGTTAAACTTGAGGCATATCTTACTAAGATGGATTTTATAGACCGACAATTGTTTATATGTATTTTTAACTTGTAAATAAATTGACAATACTGTTTTAAAGGCACTGTCCATCCAAAATCTGTCATAATTTGCTCACACTTTACTTGTTACAAACCTGTTTCACTTACACAAAAGAAGATATTTGAAGCAAGCTGGAAAGTATGTGTTTTTCTTCCCATGGAATTCAATAGTTTCAGGTCTTCCACTTTCTTCAAAATATCTTCTTTTGTGTTCAACAGAATAAAGAAACATACAGGTTTGAAACCAACTGAGAGTAAGTAAACAGGAAGTAAATTAAAATTATATCTCTTTCTCTATCTAGCTCTCCCTTGGGCAAACTATCCCAATATAAATTTTACTGCTGCTTAATTGGAGATGAGATCAGTCCTCTGTAGGCAAGACCATCTCATTGCACAACACTCGGTTCAGACTTTGTGCACTTTAAAGCACTTGTCATTACTTCTGAATTGAGATGGAGCTTGTCTAAATTAATGGAACGTTAGTCAAACTGAATAAATAAATCAATCAATCAATCAATCAATCAATCCATCAATCAATCAATCAATCCAACTATCCCCCAGCAGTGGTTTCCATAATTTTGGGCTTTTTTTTTAATTCACACCAAGCTACATTCAAGTGGTAAAAGCCGATAATGTTTATTATTTGATGCTATAAATGGGAGTGTCATCAGAGGGTTGTTTATTCCTCTGAATGATTGGTCACTTTTCCAATATAAGGAAGAACAGCTCTTTTTGCTTAACCTTTCCATTTTGTGCCAATCTGGGCCAGTCAGCGTGTGGTGCATGTGAAAGTTCAGGCAGCAGACTTGTTGCCTCAGTGACTCTGCATGCTGCATTTGTGCACAAAGGCACATCTTAAAGTAAATTTCAGGTGGGTGCAGATAATACAGCATAACAATTTAATCATGTGCAACTAAATAGAGTGCTTTAGTGATAACACAGTGAATGAATATTTGATTGGTACAGTAACGTCTCTCAAGTGATGATGGGAAAAAATGGAAAACATTTGTCAAAAACATGCATACACACAAAAATGACGTTTATCGCTTGTTCATACTACTTATTTAAAATAATGAAACAACAATTCTTGAGTTTTTTGGTAGACAACTTAATTGTTTTATATTCAATTCATGTAATTTTGTAAAAAACTACTAAGTTAACAACATTTGTGTGAAACATATCATTTTTTTACAGTGTATGCACAAATTGACACCCAAGTAGTGTGCTGGATATGGGCCAGTTTATTAATACAGTATCAGATATGCTGTAATAAATGTTTTATTCATTGTTTGTTTAAGTTTTATTAACATTGACTATTGGAACCATATTGTAAACTATTACCATTTTGAACCATATAGTTTATGAATAAACTTAAGACTAACATAATAAAATAATAGTAAAATAAAATAGTAAACTGCATAATAAATATATAACTTCCATTTTGATTTCATTGGGACTTTACTGAAAAGTCTTACTCATTCTGACGCTGTACTTTCACAAGAGGGCAGCAGTGCACAGTTTCTACCTCATTCATCTTCAAAATACCCTGAAGTCCTCACTTTGTGCATGTCTTTACTATACACAAAATCTAAGGAGTTCATTTGTTCAATTACTTTTAAGATATATGTATAAGACTATTCTAATTATGAACTAATAGAGATCACAAAGATCCACGGATACAACAAAAATCTATAATATATTGAGATAAAGCAGTTGAAGTGCATGTTCACAGGCATCCGATCATGACTTATTAAAGTGTGGCACGCCTACAGCGCGTGCGGCTGCCCAGCCTGAGCTCCTCTAACCCAATTCCTCCTCAGACTCCAGCGCACTTCACAGCGCTCTGTCAGCGACACAATGCGCTTCTATCCCTGCAGGATTTTATGACATGTCATGGTGGAATAAGAGGAAATCATGCCAAAACTACCATAGGAACCGGAGGCCTTTCGTTTATTTCCCGGGATCCGTTTGAGCCTCATCGACAATGCTTTACTTTCAGCTGGTGATCATGGCAGGGACTGTCATGCTGGCTTACTACTTTGAGTACACCGATACTTTCAACGTGCACGTCCAGGGATTTTTCTGTCATGATAATGCCTATACGAAGCCCTATCTGGGACCAGAGGAGTCCAGTGCGATCCCACCGGCTATCCTTTACGCGGTGGTCGCAGGGGTCCCGGCACTTGTGGTGAGTGAACCTGGAGTTTACTACATCACGATTTATGAAGCCTATTGACTGTATAGCGCAATCGTAATCAGTTTTAAACTGTATAATTATTGTTGTTGTTTTTTTAATCTGTTGGATGGAGCTTTATTATAACAAGTCAGTCTGCAAAGTTAAGATAATATTTTAAATACATAATTACACGCATAGAAGAACGTGGCATATTAAATGGATGTACAGATAGTTATTTATGTTTAAATATAAGTCCAAATTAATGCTTGATTCCTATACTCCAACCATATTTGATTATGGATATAAACTGCAAGTTGATTCTGTGGCAATATTGTGACTACAGTAAAAAAAATGGTTCAGATATAAAAATAAGTTTAGTAAAATAATGATGATGATGATGATGATGATGATGATAACCATCATTATTAATTAAGATTGTTGCTATTGTTGTCATTGTGATAAAAATCAAATAAAAAGTATGTAAATAAACTGAAATAAACTGTTTTGACCAATATTCAAGTAAATGCAGTATCATAAAAATTCATTCATTCATTCATTCATTCATTCATTCATTCATTCATTCATTCATTCATTCATTCATTCATTTTTCAGACCCCAAACAAACTGTTCAGTAGTGTGCAATCCCTCAGTTTTTCTTTATTTCTTAAAAATAAGATAAAAACAAAAACAGGAAACAGTATTTAAAACTCAGTGACTATATATACTGTACACTCTCAGAAAAATGCACAATGTTGTACCAAAGAAGGTACAAACCCTTATCACTGGGGCAGTACCTTTTTATGGAACAGAATTGAATTAAGACAAAGAAACAAATTTGTACCATTGCAGTTTGCATCTTTAAGGACATGATTTGTACCACAAAAAACCAAAAATGTACTTTTGGTTTTTAAAACCTGCAGATACAATATTGCATCTTCATCAAAGGTAAAAATCTGATCCATGAAGGTACCACTACAGTGACAAGATACTTTGTACCTTAACAGTGTCAAATGTGTTCCTTTAAGAACTATTTAAAGGCATTTTGCTATATCCAAAATTGTCGATTTATTTTCAGTAAATATAAAACATCTAATACATTTGTTAAACAATCTTTTTTAAAGCTTCTTTTTTGTGTAAATGCACCTTTTCAATTTACAATAAGGAAAAAATTACTTTAACATAAGTCAAAAGATCTATTTTTTTGCTAAACATTTCACACTTTTCACAAAAATGTTACAGAAATACATTCTTCCATGTACAAAAAAAAAAAAATTCTCCAATTTTCACACAATACCTTAGTATTCACTTAAAAGTTAATGTAATTTACTTATATTAAAATAGAAATATAATTAGGCAAAAGTATTGTAATGAGATAGGCACAACTTTTGATTAGCTTTACAATGCTAAAATGTCTGCATGAACACTTTGCATATGCGGGAGTTTTTCCAGCTCACATGCGTAGTGGAAAGCAAATTAATGGTGAATTTCAATAATGAGAATGTATGCTTACCAAATGTTTCTTGAAAATGCCTTAAATGTTTAGTTTACAATACCTATAATTTTATGTTTTACTAGTTGTTTTGAATTATAGAACTTAATAATTAATGTTTATGAGTTTCTTTAAACATATACTTTTGATTGATGATTCATGTTTTAATATGAACATTATTCATAAATCATTTCTAATAATATTTATCTTCATAGTAATAAAGAAGGAGTTGTCCAACACTTATGTACCCTTTTTTATGAGAACAGTTGTGTATCTCCATTTCATTGTACCATAAAAGGTACAGAACAGTACCATAAAAGGTCTTTTCTGTACAATATAAGGTCTCATTTTTACATAGGTACAATACTGTTCCTTAAAGAAGATTATTTGTACCACTGTGTACATTTTAAATAAGAGAGTAGAATAAAACATTAGATTTGTAATTAATCCTTTAATTGATCTTTTTCATTCATTCATTTTCTTGTTGGCTTACTTCCTTTATTAATCCGGGGTTGCCACAGGGGAATGAACCGCCAACTTATCCAGCAAGTTTTTTTACGCAGCGGATGCCCTTCCAGCCGGAACTCACCTCTGGGAAACATCCACACACACATTCACACACACACACACACACTCATACACTACGGACAATTTAGCCTACCCAATTCACCTGTACTGCATGTCTTTGGACTGTGGGGAAAATCGGAGCACCCAGAGGAAACCCACGCGAACACAGGAAGAACATGCAAACTCCACACAGAAACGCCAACTGAGCAGAGGCTCGAACCAGCGACCTTCTTGCATTGAGGCGACATCACTACCTACTGCGCCACTGCTTCGCCCTAATTGATCTTTTTAACTTAGCAAAGTTTGTTACATTGTTGAGCTCTAGTACGATTACATTGTCTTAAAAGGATACTTAAGCCAAAGTATTCATCTTCTCTCCGCTTGGTCTCAATACTATTTACAATGAACAACTGAGACCTACAGTATGAACTGAAAAGCTGGCATCTGCAGGGGACCATTGTTTAAAGTTTGCTATAGCTGGCCACAATGTATACAAGAATCAGTCAATGGGACGTAATATTTTGAAGCAAGCATTAATGCAGGCTAAACAAGTGGTGACAGAACACCTTTAATTACCTTTAATTAGAAACCCACCACCACATCCCGAATAACCTTCTATAACTTTTTCCGTCATCATTATATTTTACAGGAAAGCCTAAATGCTTTCATACATGTGATTTGAAGGACGCGAAAGGTGATCTCTCTGTTTAAAGTTTGCTAAAGCTGGCCACAATGTATACTAGAATCAGTCTATTGGACGTAACATTTTGACTCTGGACCTGAGCTTTGTCTGCCTACAGTATATTAAAAGAGAATTTATGATGAGCAAGATATTGGCATCTCTGAAGATCAATTAAAGTGCACAAGGATCACCTTAGAGCCTGCTCTTGCCTCTCATAAGAATTTCTGTGGATTTGTTCAATTGATCTGAAAACACTCTGCGTGGCCCTTATATTAAGGCCACACAAATTCACCCCCCAACTGACTATTATTATCACCCATTTGCTGAAAGAAGCGCTTTTGAGCCAAGTGAGGAGTGAAAACTTCGATCTGGTCTCAGGTGTGCTCTGCCATGGGCAGTAAAGGTCAGATATCAGCCCGATGGGTGCTTAAAGTGCAAGGCTTGTACAGTGTTAGTTTCAGATATTGCTGACTGAACTCGGGCATTGGTGACAAGCCTGCTGATTTACAGTAAAGAGTTTTAAAAGGTTAGTTCATTCCAAAAATGAAATTTCTATTAATATTATTTTGCCTCCAGTCGTTAAACCCCCCTGAGACCTTCAGTTATTTTCTGAATCTTTGTCAAAACATTCCATGTAGTGTTGCAATTGATCACAAATCTCACTGTTCAGATCACATCATGATTTTTTATTCACGGATCGGATCATTTTTCCGATCAGCCAAAAGGGGAGGAGACAAATGTGATTTGCTTTTCATCTATTACAAAAACAGCACTGCAAGACATTTTTGGTTTTAACTACTAGAACTTAGAACCTGTAGTTTTATTAAAAATAAAATGATGAAATAATCAGCTGAATTTACTGTTACTACTGATAACGCGAAGTGTATAAATCTAACAATATAATTTGTACAATTCATATTTATTTTTAGTCTCATTTTTAATAAATGAGTCAGGTATTCACTTATAAATATTCATGTTTCATAGCTAGATGTGTCATTTTTGAAGAATTATTCAGTGGCAAATTGTTGATGGTTGTCACCACTTTTTGGTTAAATAATGTAATTGCTGCCTACAACTTTCATTTTTGAGTATATGACGGGGATTTTAATCTTTACCAGAAACATCAGTGGTTTTAATCTAAACTATAAACTGTTATCCCAGTACTTGCGTGCTATTTGACTGTTTGTAACTTCATAACTAACTCAAAAGACTAAAGACTCAATCCCTTTCTTGATTTTTGCATTTTTCAAACACAGATTTGAATGCAGCGATTCAAAGAATTAATAAATATATGCAAATAACCATCATTTATAATTTATGTTGCGTGGGTGTTAAGATCCAGATCTTTTGATGATTAATCGTGCAGCTTTAACTGATTGCATTAATGCAGGGTGAACAAGTAGTGACAGAAAACACCTTTAATAACCCAAGACACCCACCCCCACATCCTGAATAACCTACCACAACTTCTTTTGTCATAATTATATTTTACAGGAAAGCCTAAATGCTTTCATAGATGTGATTTAAAGGATGTGAGAGGCGACCTCTCTGCGATCGTTACACATTTAGGAATAAATATACAAAAATAAAAGTGTTGATTCCGCGGGTCACTTGTAATTGGAACCGTGGGTTGTGATGCGTATGAATCACAGATCAACTCTGATTTGTTACCCCTAATTCCACATGACTTCAGTGGTTTAACTGTAATCATATAAAACTCTAATAACACTTTTGTCCACCAAAACTTTAAAACAACTTTGATTGAACTTATTACTGTTAAGGTCAGTGCCATATTGTCTGTGCTTTTTGAAATGCCTTTAATTATATGCATGTGTTGTGAGTATTTTCATGCAAGTGTTTAAAACTCCATCAAAAACTAATAACAATCTATAAACTTTTTCATGCATAACAACATATAAATACAATCAAGAAAAAAATATAATACATTTTTGGTGAACAAAAGTGTTCTTGGAGCTTTGTATGATTACAATTAAACCACATAAACTTAAACACAATTCATAACTTTGTTTTAAGGGCTAATTTGTATGAATTCATACAATCTCATTTGTACAATTTAGTTCGATTTGCTTATCCCCCAAATTGGGTGCTATTCCTCCTTTTCGAAATCGAATTATTATCGAATTATTGAATTAAATGATCGAATCATTTTTGTACCACTGAACTCGAAAATTTTACAAATTAGCCACTAAACTGCAAAATGTAAACTTTGTCAGTATAAACTTTGTCAATAAAAAAAACTTTTTGTGGTCCCCT